AAACCTGTAGAACGGCGTCGAGACACTCGTCCAGTAGATCGGGCTGTGGAGTCTCCGGATCGTTAGAAGCACGCTGCAGGAGGTCTCCTAGCATCACGTCGACATTGCATGTCTTAGTTTTCTCAATGTCCCGCTCAATCCATGGGCGGATTTGATTGATCCTTGCATGAACTTCAGGTGGCAATCAAATATGACAGGAAAAAAAACTCACTTGGCGCCGATCAGGCCAATGTGGTCACTGGCAGCGGAAGCCCCACGGCTGAGTGGGGTGGATTTGAGGTTAGAAACATGAGATGATTGATTAGCGCGTGGCGGAGTAGATGCCAAGTTTGGCTGGTCGGGTTGTGCTTCGCCAGGGGACATGGCAGTTAAAGTTGACTCGAGCAACGCAACTGGGTGTTAATGCTCACAGGTGGTAAAGTGGGAAAGGTGGTGGTTGTTAGAAAGAAGAATGAAGTGGGTCCCATTTATCTGATCAGCCAATGTGGCGAAAGGTGGTCGCGGAGTATGATTGCGTTGTGGACTTGTGGTGGTATTGATGTAGTTGATGTTGTCCTATTTAGGGAAGGGCCAGGTGAAATTGACGCGCCTGGAATTGACAGTGTCAGCGTCTATATCGAGAGAGAATTTTCATATCTGCTGGGGCTGTCCTCTAGCAAATGCTGTTGAGTTGCAAGTGTGACGCACCTTGCAGCAGTTCTATGTAGCACATATTCGTGTGGCTGTGTGGAACGGGAGCGAGGAAGTATTACTGCTTACATAATTGGATTGATCGGCATACATTTCACAGTTAGCCGATCTCTTTCCTTGGTGAACGAGAAGGTTTGATGCAATATTAACGAGACCAAGTTGCGTCACGGTCGGTTCACCACCTGGCACCCAGATTAATATTGGTTTGAAATGTAGCAACAATATTGCAAGGACACCTCTGCAAATCCAAATTTTCCCACTCCCTGCCCATGTGATTACTACTTTTAAGTAACGCTTTAATGCTTCGAAAGCGCTAGCGAGGTTCAGGTTCTATCTTGACCTCAGACCAACATCCCAAATTTGACCCTGGACGTTATCATGACAAGCGTTTTACCACCCTTCGTTCAGGCAGCATCAGGCTCACTAGGAGCAGCGAGCGCCAATGCGCTGACGTACCCACTCGATCTCATCACCACCCGTATACAGGCCACGGAGAAGGGCATATCCATACGCAAACAAATCCATACCTATGGGCTATCATCGTTATACGACGGCATTGGGGCAGACACCAGTGCTACCCTACTTTCAAGGTGAGTAGCTTCTGCATTCTGCGTCTTAAGATGTTGTTCATCATTGAATATTGAATCAGCTTTCTGTATTACTACCTGTATTCCTTCCTGCGAGCACTCGTTGTTCGCGGAAACGGAAAATCAAAAGCAGCCATGTTATCTCTCCCACAGGAGCTTGCAATTGGTTACCTATCAGGCATTGCTAGCAGATCCATCACGACACCTCTCAATCTCGTTACGGTGCGCTTGCAAACCGCTCGTGTGAGCAATGATTCTTCACCACAAGGAGGAACGTCACGGTTCACGGCAGTTTGTAAACAAATACTTCGGGAAGAGGGCTTACGGGGATTCTGGAAAGGTTTGGCTTTCGAGAAGCACTCAGTCGACCGTCAGAACTTACGACAATAACCATAGGGTTCTCATCCAATTTTGTGCTCTCGCTCAATCCCGCAGTTACGCTCTATCTGTTCCAGCAGTATAGACGTGTAATGCTGAAGGGGAGAGAACGCGCCTCCCCACCCCCAGGCCATTCCTTCGTAGGGGGCGCGCTTGCAAATTCCATAGGTGAGTCACACCTCTCCATTGCTGTTGTTCGATAAGTGTTGATACGCGATTCACGAAGCTGTCATTATGTTATACCCGCTGCTACTAGCAAAGACTGTCGTACAAGCTTCTCGTAGATCTAATTCAACCAACAATTCGTCACAGGGCCCGTCAATACGGTCATCACTCCAAGGAATATATACCGCTGGCGGATTCTTCGCCTTATACCGTGGTCTCGGTGCGCAGTTGTTCAAGGGCATACTGAGGCAAGGAACGGCTATGATGGTGAAACAGAGGTGACTTACTGGCCCTCTCCATCAATGCACGCACTGAATTTACTACTTAACCAGGATCGAACAATTAGTCGTACAGGCCTATCTCAGACAGAGAGCACTGCGTCGCATCCAATATAAGGGTTAAATAGGCAGACCAAAAACTTCATTTTTATCTCAAGTGCTGATCGTGAACTTGCGTAATATACTTTATTAAATGTAAGTATTGCAAAAAAGGGAGGGTGAGTATTGTCCGAATATAGTCCTCTGCTCAGAAAAAACTTAAAGAGACAGCCACTTGGAAAGCAGAGAGGGGAAGTAAGGGGTCCCGAGGCCAGAAACGGGATCCCAACCTTTAGTTGTATTGAATCCCAGAGTACCACACCCTGGATTCGTTCCATTGGTGACATCCTTAAAGCCGCCAACGAAATCAGCGGAGTAGATCTTGAAACGATATCAGCGACAAGTGGAAATTAGAAGAGTGATGCACGACGCACAGAGGGGTTGATGAATCCAAGAGGTGGTTTACCCTGCGAGATACGAGCATCGTTCACCATGGTCAAGATAGAGCCCACGACAGGCGAAGCCGCGGACGTTCCGTACACGAGCGAGAAAGAACCGTCGACAGCAATGACGTAGTTTGCTCCGTTGGCAGCGAGATCGGGATATGCACGGGACTGTAAGAATGGTCGACCTTGCCCTTGACTAAACTGAAACTATGAAGAGACATACCCCAGTAGAATTGTAGATATCCTTTGGGTACGAGATCGGCTCAGCTGCTAGATACCCTTCGACCGCTGCCTTCTGATACAAGGGCATGCTGAAGTAGTTGCTGAATCCACCGCCAGAGTAAATGACTTGCTCGCACGCATTTTCGGGCTCCCATACAGACTGGCCAGGGCTAACTTGGGTGGCACCGACCGCAGTGACATATGGGCATGAAGCAGGGAAGCCAGGATTGAAGATTTTACCATCTGGGGATTGAGAACCTGAAATAAAATAAGTCAAGGATTTGATGATATTGGATAATATGCAATTTTACCGTCAGGATTTAAACAGTAATCCCCGTTGCCTGCAACACCCGTGTCTCCCGAACTAAAGAGGAAAGTGACGCCCATGAGGCCAAGCTTCGCGTACTCATTACATTGGCGAATAGCATAGGCGGGAGAGAGGTCAGCCTCATTGTACCCGTAGGATGTGGAAATGACGTTTGCAGGCTTGACAGTTCCGCACTCCTCATTACCTGTATCATGCAGCTGAATATGATTAGAATATAGTCAAGTTCGAAAACTCACCTGTGTATCCGCCACTAGCGGTGTCAGGATAAGCGGGATCCTGGGTGGCATCATCACCGCCGTCGTACTTGCAGTATGTTCCGTCCAGTGCATCAAGGAATGTATTGAAAGAAGCACCTAAATATCGATGCAATCAGCGTTATATGTTGAACCTACTGGTCGTCTCCATACCTTCAACCGAATCTCCAACTTGATAAAGAGTGATGTCTTGTCCTTTTGTTACCAAGGTCATGGCGTACTCCAGATCGAGGTCGGATTCCCCATTGTAATCAAAAGAAGGGCTAGAACTCTCGATGACGCCTAACACGACCAACTTAGTCAGTCGCCCGCTGCGAATGATAAGTTGTAACGGTACCTCCATCAATCGAGACCAGTGTAGGGGAAACACCTTCAAGACCGGTTGAGAAATTCTTCGCGAACAAGTCCAGATCAGACTGCAAATAAGACTGTGGGGTGTATTCCACTTTGTGGTCGGTGAGTCCCTAGCACAGTCGCACGACGGATGCAGACGTACCGATTCCATAGCTGTTTTGCTTCCCGGCAACTGGCTGATACCAAAGTCCATAGAGAGCCCTCAAGCAAATTGGCGTGATCTGCTTGTCACAATCCTCAAGTTGATCAAAAATGGTTCCAATTTGACCAGACGTCTTGGGAGTGCTGCCTTGACCAGGTTGGCCAATAGGGACTCTGGTATATTGATTTTCACGCTTCCGCGGGATCTTGGCATCAAAATGTATGGTGGGAGTCACAAAGTCAACGTGCGGGATCACATGCTCCGGCAGATGGTAACTGTCACAGGCTGTGGCCAAAATTAAAATAAGCTCAATAAGCACTATGACCACAATACTAACCGATATGTCTTGTGCCGGTTTCGTGGTCGTACACATGATAGTCGGCAAGCAAAAGATTTTCAGCCTCTTCGACGGTAGAAGCCACTTCGAGCCACCCCTTGGTGGGAGAGAGTGTTATGCGGTGGGGCTCTACACCGCTTCCGATCAACCATGAGCGAACGGTCTCTATGGATTCGGCACTTGGGGCAAATTTGGCAGCAATCTGACTTGGAGACCAGTGCTTGCCATAATTGGATGAAGCAGGAAGTGACACCTCGTAGAGAAGTGCTTCAAGGTTCTCCATGTTTGACTGAGAAAGTGCAAATCGTAAGGGGACCGACACAGAGGAATCCAGTTTTCGTGTTCGGGTCCATCCTGCGGGTATATGAGAACGCTGTTCGTGAAGCTGCCACGGAGAGAGTGTGGGGTCGGCAATCGCACTAGCGGCGAGGCCGAGTGTTAATGAAAGGACTGGTAAAAGGAAAGAACGCATTGGCTGTAGGAGCAAAAAAACAACAACAAGACGAAGGACGGCGCTAAACTCGGTAGAACAACTTCATGATTAGTTTTATAGTCAACCGAGCTATAAAAATATCAGTCCTATTAGGTACAAACCTAAGGAAGCTAGCGACGTACGTGATCACTATAGTACGTTCTCTTTCTGAAACGCATCAGATCTTGATATGACATATGATGGACGCATGGATGCTTGATGGGCCTACCTACCACAGACGTGCCAAGAGGTCGTGGATAAGACAACGGTCAATGTCAGCGGCCATTTCTGAACGTGAGCGGCACGGTAAGCCGATCGAAGGATGTCATAATAGGTGCTGACTTCACTTCTCGAGTTTCAACATCGCAACCCAGAAGCCACATAAGCGTATTAAATACATATGTATATACTATCTACTCCCAAGCGCCGCCATATTCTATGTGCCCGATGCCTTCGTCAAAATCAGGTCGTCAAAGTCGTAAGTCTTCGTCAAACAACCACATGCAAATTGCAATTTGGACCCTTCATCGCTGCCCAATGCTGGTCATAGCATCTCCCAAGGTGGCAAAGAATGCCTCGGAGCCTAGGAGCTCCACAATACCTGCGCGTTCGAACATTTGTCGAGGACCAGAACGGAGGTGAGTTACAAAGAGCTCGACGCCACGATTCTAATGGAATGAGATAAAGCTGGTTCTGTTTCAAAGTCACGTAAGCTCTCACCTGATACGTCTCCAACAGCTCATGGAAGATCTGCACTGCAGAGGCATCACATGTTTCGACGTCTGCCATGTGGAATACCAGTGTGCTTGCGGCTTGTCTCCTTGGCTCTTCTGAAGGGTGAGTTCTTTCTTGGCCATACAATTCCAGTCTACGAAGACGCTCTTTCAACTGTGCCGTGTTAGCTTTAACACGTATTGAGCTTCATCTGCATTCAATAAGATGATAGAAAGTACCGAAATCCAAGCTCTCTCTGATACGGATGATCAATATGCCAGGAACATCTTCAGCGCCCGGATTGTCAGTAATGGGTCCCCATTGATCAGTGCCAGGAATGCGTCCCTGCAACACTGTCTGAGCACCCTGAATATGTTATAGGTAATGACATACCAGTATAATCATTCGTGTGTGCGAGGAACGCTTGATAACAAGTAGCAAAGAGATGATGAGACTGACAATGATGCCAATCTCGATATTCCAGATGACAGATAGCGAGAAAGTGAGAAACATCATTGCAAGGTCCGTCCAGGCTCTGATCCTTAATGCCAGTCATCAGCACCCTAAGATTATACAAGACAACCTATCACACCTCCAATAATACATTAGGTCATGGGGGACCTCGCTGAACAGTGATATCACAAAGAGGCAGATGCTAGAAGACAAGTCAGCGCCACAGACTAAGCGGAGATGAAAGGTACGTACATCGATGCCAAGACACATCTCGGTAAGTAGTATAAATACGGGAGAAGGAAGAATGTCGCCCCCAGTGTTATGCCAGCAGTAACGAGGGAGGCCAATTGCGTACGCGCACCAACGTCGCCATTAATCTTCGACCTCACGATTGAACCAAATGCTGGCAATGTGCCAGGAACGAAAGATCCAAAAAGGTTTGCAGCCCCAAGTGCAACGAGTTCACGGTTCGGACTGATAGAGTAGCCAAAGCGATCGGCATTCTGCTTCGCTGCAACAGTACTATCCAAAAAACCCATGATGGTTATCAAACTGATTGATGTTAATAAAGGCATTCGTGAAGGAAACTATCCACATACACTGCCGTCGAAGTCGTTCCTCTGATGTAGCCTATTGATTGTTTCAGCGGAAAGCTAAAGAAATCACCGCCAGTTTTGATAGGTATTATGCCGAGGATATCGACACCTTTTTTGTCCCAACGCAGATAGCCTGAGATAACTATACAAACCAGTCAGAGAGGGCCAAAAACAAGAAGACGAGGGGCATACTTGTAGAGAGCACAACAACGAGCAGGACTTCAGGGAGCCGTTCGATCCACCAAGTTCGTCTGAAGTAACCTTTGAAAGTTCTCATGAATATGAGCACGAACAACGCCCCGAAGCTGACCAGCGTCGTCGGTTCGTGGAAATCACTCCATGAAAATTCTAGAAGAAAAATTATCTTGTCCAAGGTTGACGCGGGATTCATCTGTTTCTCTAGGACAGCGAGGCCAAACATAGGTATTAATTGTTCTCTGTGATACAACTTGAGCACTTCGTGGGTCATCTTTGTTTAACAGTTGTACGCACACCGCAATGACAACTGCAACTGCAGTCACGAATCCTCGGAGGAGCGCACGACTGAGGACAACATCTAGGAAGCCCAGCCGAAAGAATCCAAGCATTGATGCAAATAGGCCAACCTACAAAGTTATGATTTATGATATGGATGTCTTTTTGAGCCAATGTTCCAGCCCCAATTGAGATTATCATTACTTACCTGGAAAGTGATGGCAGTGGAAACTGCGATACCGACGGCATCGGCGTCTTCAGGACGAACATGATGATCCCCACGACGATAATCGGAAACTGCTTGTCCTACGAGGAGTGAAAGCGCAGCCTCTGGAGCAACATTGAGTTGTCTTGACGTTCCCAAAAGACTGTACATGATCGGCGGTAGGGCAGCAGCGAACTAGAAAAAAAAAATGAATATTGGATCGAAGAGACATGAAGGAGCGCACCAAACCAGTTGTAGGACTTAGCTTCGCAAGTGAAGTTCCATAACTGACAGATTGGGGAATGAGCATAGCCGCAAGAGTGACACCGGCTAGAAGATCGCCACCCAAGCTGGCGAATATGAGCTCGTGTAATCAAAGTTCCCGTGTGTACTCACAGGGAAATCGAATAGTCAGGTATCCATGCGGTGGACGGAACATAATATCGAACTCGTTTCTTAAACATCGAGTTCCGCTTGCTGGTATCCGCTGGCAACTTGACACCTGTACTTTCTTCTATTAGTTAATAGTGGGCCTATGAAACGCTCACAAGTACTCACCAGAAGCAGAAGTTATCATAGAAGAAGAGCCGTACTGGACGCGAGTCATATGACCCGCCTCAACGTCGCTTTGATTTACGAGGGGTGTTCGTTCTTCTCCGTGAACCATGCCTGGCAAGGATGAGACGGAAGTGGTTGTTGACAAAGAGTGAAACCGTGAGACGGGTTCCGTGGTGTTACCTCCACTATGCCGCATCATTGCTGAGCGCTGAGCCGCTATATTTTCTGAATGGTGAACAATCGTGACTGCGGGTCACCGTGTCATTCCAACAGCCGCTCCATTTCAAATTTTATGTGTGACCCCAACGGGCCGAAGCGAACAAACTCAATTATCAATGCTTACATGATTTTAGTAACTTAAATAGGATAACCATGGTCGCCTCCGAGGATACTGTAGGCAGTCATACACAAGTCTAATATGGTGCGTGCAAGTTCGTTACAACTTCTAAATTCTGGAAAGTCAGGTGTATAACCACGAGCGTCAATTGTCAATTTGATAAGCTTATGACGGCGTAACTTTGCCCACATGCAGCAGGAAGCAGCATCAAAACACCCCACACGCACCGCAGCTGCAGCAGTAAGACCCCAACAATCCCTCCAGAAAATCCCAGGCCGTGTTCAATTTAATCACCACCAACCTCCGGTGAAATCACGATGTTGCAGCTCATTCAACAACAACCACACCTCTTTGAACGTTTGGAAATCATACGGATTGTGATATATGATGTAGCAGGACAGACGACGCATGGTTACCAGTTCGTGAGCCTACAAGACATTTCGTCTACTTGAACTGGTGTCATGTTGTCAGTTGAAGAGGTTGGGCGTCACGAGATGGGCAATTCACAGCAAGCGGTGGTTGGAGCAGAGAGCTCAAGCGCTCATCGCCTGGGATCGAGAAACAGGGGAACCTCTCCACCAAACAACCATTTGCGCAGTCCATCCTGAATGGATCCTCATGCCGGACTTTCTCCCAGTGGAACAGTACTGGTCACTGCTTCATCAGATAGAACGGGTAAGCTATGGAACACGAAAACGTAGCATCAGGGAACGTGTCGCAGGCTTCCAAGGGTCACACTGGATGACGCCCGGTGGCATACGCCTCAAGGCGATTGAAAGGATCCCACCATATGTGAGTGGGATCTATCGGCCTGGATGCAGGTCGGCGATCTCTGGAGGTGCCATACCCATACCGTCGCACACTTGTCGCGTCCGCATCTGAAGGATCACAACGGTGTCTGTCTCTGGCGGCTCTCAGATCCACGAGACAGTACCATCTTCCATCACTCACAGTGGGGGTGGTGTCACCTTCTTGGCAGGCACCTCCTCAGCGGAGATGATGTCAGAGTGGGAACTACCTGACTTGGAGTTGATATATTCCTGGTGATTTCATATTCCTTCATCATCTCATCTCGTGTATTTTTTGATGCCAAGGCTCAAGCTTCAAGTTTCTGTTACATCCTCGCTATCAACACGACCGCCTGCAGTGCATGCGACTTGTCTACCGTCGAGCAGCTTTTTACACAAGAATCGACACTGGTACTGATGCCAATATCATCTAGCCCTCGTTGACTGGTTACATATCTGAGGTCATCCGCCCTATGCGAAAAACGAAAAGTCGGAGATGCGAGGAAAGAACTTCGCATTCATGCTCACGAACGAAGATTCAAAGTTCTTCTCTTGATTGAGACACGTTATTTTTTCCTTCCATACTCATACTCTGTGCTTCGGTGAGAATTTGGAAATGAATTCTGTGGTGTCTCGCTGGTTGTTTACGATCGCCCAATACAGCGTCGTGTGATCCTCAATATTGGGTTTTTGAAAGCGGTTAGCTGTGAGAGTAGCAGTGCAGGAGTCAAAAATTCCCCTTGATAGAAGAAAGAGTAAAATAGGGAGAGCGGAAATTTTCATGATACAAGATAAAGCTGGGGCACGGCGGCGTTTCTGCTTGGATTGTAGGAATGAAAAGGCCGATCATTTGCACCGGATGAAATCTGTTGAAACGGACGTATAAATCGCATCATACGAAGGTCTACTAGTAACGAAGTGCCCGTGATGTATCTTCGAAGGTAGAAGGTACACGCGGCGGAGAACTCACTGATCTGGAATAGCGGACTTTGAGGTGCTCTTTCGTTAATGCAAATTCTATCATAGCGACAGCGGTGTACGTCTATTTCCTGCTCAGACGGCGTGTGACCATCATAAACTCTCTCCGGCCTTTGTTGAACGATATGGCGCTGAAGTTCGTGCGTTAGCCAATAGAACCGCAGCAACGAGTGTCATGACTTACTGATGAGAGGATGTAGCTGAGCCATATATGTGACCATCCACATAAGATAGCATGATGCAAACGTAAGCATGATGGCCGTACGAATTGTCCTGCATTCGAGGGTAAGTATTAGTGTGGTTCGGATTGTGACAAAGCGAAGAAGGGATACGTTTGATTTGGTCCCTTTGGGACGAAGAGGAAACCACAAGCCATTAGTCCTAGGACTATGACGAGTATGAAAATCACCGGGATGACGGACGCCATGAAAAGTTGTAGGGGTACTAGCAGAAGTAGCAGGTAGCAGCCTGAGGCAGAGCGCAGCGGGACATTGCGTCTCACGTGACACGTACCCACTTAATTAGGGAAGGGGGGATTCCCCCTATTTCCTACGTAGTCAGAGAACAAATTGGGGCCTGCCAACAACCTGCCAAGCATTAATATTTCAATATTCACACCCGTTTGCTAGAGCACTCGCTCAGCAGATAGTACTTGCCAGAGAACTAATACTCTGTCTCAGACAGTGTCTAAGGATTCAGAGCTCGAGGGTCAAGAAGGGGATCATTGCTGGCCTATATGTCAATGTCTTACAGTGGGAGGCCGACAATCCTGAGTACTGAGTCTTGATTGTATACCACTTGGAACTTTTCACAAAGCACCGTGACTAACCTGCAAAGTCCTCCACGCTGGGGTTCCTGGTACGAATTTGTCTGTCGATTCCGAAGGATTCAACACCCACCTCACCTCCCATTGACAAATGCCATCTATTCATTGCTACCTCAATTGATCTTATTAATGGTAACTCCTTGTTTGCATACAACATGTACCACTTTGTAACCATAAACCAAAAACCAAAATAACGAACGAAACACGCACAGGACACATACATAAAGCACAATGTGACAAGAACAGAACAGTCAGTTACAGCAGACAGTCCCCAAGGTCCGTCATACCACCTCCAAAACAGACAACAAGAGAGGGAGTGGTGCTACATATAGTAATTATGATGAATGACGAATGTCAAAAAAGGTGCTTCTACATAGGCAGCATCACCACACGACGGGTCGTGCATGCATGCTGCTTGGGTAAGTGGGACCAGTGATAGGAACCCACGAGGTTGGTGGTGGCAGTGGTGGTGGAGCGCTGGCTGGGACGTACGAGTATGGATAACCCGGCGCGCGTGGGAGGTGATAGAAGGTTCCAGAAGGCGCGGGGGGTTGTGTGAGGAAGGGCGCATCTGAAAATGAGGATGGTACAGGGAACGACAGACGTGCAGCGCTGCTGGGGATCACTGCTTTAATGCTGAAAGTAGGCGATGGGAGCTCCATCCACCCATTTCTGCCTGGCGTGATGGGATTATCGGGGCTGAAGGGTAGATTTGGATCAGAGTGGTCGCGGCCTCTGCCTTGCGCAGAGCCGGTACTCTTTCTGTCTCCCGCGTCAATGTGAGGTGTAGAAGGTCCTGGCGAGCTGTCGGATGAAGATTTGGAGTGATTGCGAGGCCTGCCTTTCTTGGTGGCAACAGGAGTGGATCTCATCTGGTCAACGATGACTCTGGTCTTGGAGGCCTTGCGTGACTGCACATCGGACAAGAACTGCGGGAGACGCGTAGATGACAGCCGCGAGGAAGGCCGAGAAGAATCAAGACGGGCATGAGATGGTGAGCCAGGTGGGGTGATTGAGGTGTAGAACCCTTGGTCATCCCTTTTCAGGCCTGGAGGAAGGTACTGGTAGTTACCGTTGATAGCTGGGAATACAAAGTTGACTGGGGTAGGGGACGAGCTTGAGCGTAAGCTTGAGTCTGGTGAGGGGGGTGCTAAAAATTTGGGTGGCGGGCCTGATTTTGGGGTGAAAGCTCTTGCCGACCCATTGAGAGCCTTGGGTGGGGAAAGACCACGGCCATCTAACACCGGGGAGGGCTGATGTACCTCAACATCGGAGAATGCACTCCTTTGTGTGGGCGTGGAAGGGAGTACATCAGAATCGGTAGATGGCTCTGAATCGTATTCCAGCGAGGAGAGCGGGGACTGAGGACGGCCACCTGAGGAGAAGGCATGAAAATGATTTGCAAGAAAAGTGTAAATCTCAGACGCACCGTCAATGTCGGAGGCGGATATAGCCCGGGACAGATGTATATCCCCGACTAGATCCTGAACACGAGTGGCCCACTCAGACCTCGCAAACTCGACCTCCTCTTCGTCGACGTCAACGGACAACTTAGTCCAACTAGTATACAATTCGTCCAAGGTGATATCAGGCATGATAGAATGAGTGAATCCGGAATCCAGTTCGTACGCTCTCAAGACGTCTTCTGCGACTTGAACGCCAACAAATTTGTGATTCAGTGACTCGGAGAGTGGCCATTCGTTCGCAGAGTTATGGGGTAGGGTTGTCGGATCTTGAGAAGGTCCGAATGGTTTAGCTTTGCAAAGAATTGTATAACGCCGTCTTGGACGTGAAGTCCTGAGTAGGGAACCATGATAATGGGGTGGCTTTGGATGGGATACAGGTTTAATGGGGACACGACAGTATTGTGTGTCAAAGGACCAGTTGACAGATCCATACCTGATCTCCCAGCAGGTAGAAGGCAAAACCTCCCAAACTCCTGTGCCTTGCTCGTGGTTGATGAACGTCTGCATGAAATTGAAGCTACAAAGGAAGCCTCAATTAACCTTGATGAAAGTTAGCAGAAGAGATTGAAAATAAAAGAATCACACGAACAAAAGAACTAACGAGCATCCGGCAAAGGGCGTAACAGGAAAGATGAGCGCGAGTCTCAGAAGTGACCTTGGCAGTTGGAGGAATGATTATCGGCTTTTTTATCCAACTTGTAAAATCATTAATGGTTATATTGCTTCCGAAACCCCGCATCTACGGACTAATACTTTCTCACCCCAGAATATCTGACAATCTAATAAGTAACGTCTTCAATAACTAATTAACTAAAGTACTCACCTCCTGCAGACCAAGCTACCGCTCGTATTGGCGAGCCATCACAACTATCTAACTTAAGTGGCAGCAGGCTCACAATTGGGTCCTTCAATGCCAGCACTTGTTCTATCCCCCGTAAATTCTCTGCAATCATCCCTCCCGCGCCAAGTATCTCTATGTGCACTTCGCACTCGGGTGAGCATATGCTGTCAGGGCTCAGCGTATCGCATCCAATTACTCTCACTCCGGTCTCCATAAGCTTCTTCGCCGCATCCAAATCCATGAACGGGTGTTCTTCATAATTCTCCTTGCCCCAGTATTGCGACCACCCAGTGCATATGAGCACGATCACCCCTTCGTGCATCTGCCCCTCCCATTTCTGCATGTCCTCCCAGGTAATCATCTCACGTGGCTTCTTCCCCCTCACGTCGATGACCAGCGCACGACCCACAAGTTTGGTCAAGTCGTACTTGTCCACTGTCAATCCGTCCGCAATGAAATGGTTGGGCGCATCAATATGAGTCCCTGTATGAGACCCAAGTGAAATAAGCGTCACGTTGGCATTCTGTTCCGGGATTTTGGCAACTTTTTTCATCTCCAGTGTTGGGTGCCCCGGCCATATCGACATCGGGGCTTCTGTTGATGTCGTCAGCGTGTGGGTGAGGTCGATCATCATCGCGGTTGTACCACACGAACTGTGGGAGCCAGCTATCTCAATTATGTACGGAATCCTATCATTTGGATATGACTAATTTGCGACTAAAGGATACTTCCTTACATACGATGTCAGCTATAATCGTGAATGACCAGACAGCACTACGACCTGCTGGCCGCCTGCGTCCGTGTGATTTTATATCTTCATCATGTTGCGAAACAAAATTAGAACATTAGATGGGGTAAGCGGAGGTGCGCGGTTGGTCACCAGATCCACATATCTGACAAGAATATACACCGTCTACCTAGGTTTCTCCGTCCACCCGAACGCCCGTACAGGAGCTCCATCTGCTCCGTGTAAACTCAGAGGCGCAAGACTCACCCATACCTCCTCCCCTTCTTCAGAATTCCTACCCACAAGCTCCCCCAAATTCGTCAAATTCTCGCAAATCAAACATCCACGACCCAAAAGCACCTCATGCATCGCAAAAGCATCCTCCTTCTCCTTCCCTCCATCCTGCACCAGAACAGTCTCATCAGGGCTTAGCGTATCAACACCCACAAGCCGCACACCCATCTCCACAAGCTCCTCTGCGACATCTCTCCCGAAATATGGATGGTCAAAGTACTTCTGCTCGCTCCACCATCCATCCCACCCCGTCCAGAACAGCACCATATCGATCTTCCCTTCTGACCGCGGCCCAAGGGAAGCAATCGTGCCGCGAGTCCGATCGAAGCTCTCTCGCACGTCCCTCCACTCAATGCGCCCTCTCGCACACGCTAGGTGCCTCACATCGACGACCACAGCACGCCCGACGAATCGCTCAAGAGAGAGCTCATGCAACTTCTGGCCTTGAGCGAAAAAGTGGAACGGGGCATCAACGTGTGTTCCTGTGTGCGTTCCGAGCGAGACAGCATGTACGGTGTATCCATCGGTTGGGATGTTGCACACGCTGTGCATCGCGAAGGGTGGATCTCCGGGGTAGATAGTCGTTTGGGGCGTGAGAGGATGCGAGAGATCGATAAGGGATTTAGGAGGCATTTGTGAGATCCTAGACGATGTTGTTGATGGTATACACAAGAATAGATTACTTGAATAGACTTCGGTTTGGTAAGTATCTCACATGACCTGCCACAGGGGCTATTCCGGGAAAATTAGTGTTCTTTGCACGTAGATACAAGTAGGAGAGAATTATCAGTTGTTGTACTCATAAAATCCTCGACCGCTCTTCTTTCCAAGATACTGAGCATCCACCATACGCTCAAGCAAGACCGAAGGGCGATACTTAGAATCCGAGGTACCCTTGTAGAGCGTCTGCTGAATAGAGAGGCAGGTATCAAGACCGATACTATCTTCCGATGAGCGATGCAAAACAAACAAAAGATGATAGTTGCACTTACAAATCAGCTGTGGAAAACCGTGCGTGACCATCAGAAAGATACAGCGCATCTCGCTACAGTAACTCACCAAGTTGTAACGGCCCCATAGGATGTGCCATGCCTAACCTGAACGTCTTGTCGATGTCATCACGAGTCGCAACGCCCTGGATACACGACACATGCGTCAGTAAAACTCAAAATGAACGATTAGTGTCCGATGATCACCTTCTCTAAGCACATGATCGCCTGACTTAAAATTAAATATACGACGCACAAACAACAGACAGAAGTATTCACCTCATTGATAAATGGCATAAGCAATGCGTTCGACACGAACCCAGGCACGTCCTGCGATGTAGCGACCTCTTGACGGTGCGTGAACAACGAAGTACAATGCATCCCGAAAGAACAAATACCTTTGCCGCACGCTTCAGCGAATGCGCGTGAGCGGTTTAGCGTGTCTTGCGACGTTTGCACTGCAGATATGAGCTCCACGAGTTTCTGATATTCATACATGGCATCAACACGCCACTCAAAGCACAGTAAACGACTGCATCACCATAACAGGTACAGGGTTGAAAAAATGCAGACCTTAGAATACCTGCCGTCAATTGATCACTACTATACACCATCCCAAACACTCACCAACCACCCTCCCAGACACAGCCTTCGCTACTTCGCCCGCTGCAGGTTCCCCCTCGGGAATAACAGCCCCTGCAATCTTCGTAATACTAATCGAAGATGTGTTCGTAGCCAAGATCGCATCCGGACGGATCTTCGCCGCAAACTCGCGGAATATAGCGCGTTTGAGGTCTAGGTTCTCGGATACGGCTTCTACGACCATGTCTACATCGCGCATGGCTTCGACGGAATCCGCTGTTTGGATACGTGCGCGCGCATCTGCTGCGTCGGACGCTTGGAGACGGCCTTTAGACACGTCTTTGGCAAGGAGCTTGTCTATCAGGGAGAGGCCTTTGGATATTTGGTGTGCGGATTTGTCGTGGAGGAGGACTGGGACTTTGGCGTGGAGGGCGGATACGAAGGCAATGCCGGTGCCCATTTGGCCTGCACCGAGGACGCCTAGTCGTTTGATTCCGTGTGCAATCGACATCGTGGTTGAGGTGAAGAGTAAAAGCCAGAATCACGTGTGAAAGGCCGCCGCATATTTTTCTGTGACTCAGAATCTGTGACGCGTCTGCAGGATGCGTTATTACTTGTTCTTGAATATAACCAAACTTCCACTCGACACGTCCAAAGTAGTAGTCATCATTGTCATCCCACCTGCGAGAAGCCAACCGCAGCACCACTTTCAATCATGAGTAGGGTCAGCGGTCTGCATTTTGACGGGCAACTAAGTACGCGTTATGTCATGGTTTTATAGTTCTCGGTACCCCGTATTTGATCTCTGATTTTGACAGGGATCCAGTGCAAGGTGCCCATTGACGAGTTGATCCCAATTTCGAGCAGCATTTACAGACGTACGGTGCCACCTCTACTGGACAGAATCATATGGCTCGCCGCATAGAGCATTGAACCAGCAACGGGCGCGTTTAGTAACTCATTCACGTATATGTGCCGTCCTTCAGTCATGCAGACATTCTCACCAATCTACCAGCCTCCCAATCACCAGTATTTCATCACAACTACATTCATGCAGTCGATACCTCAACTCCTCAGTTTTCACTAGAATCAACGCTGCGGCCTTTCCACTCCCATCCAGCTTCGGCTCTCACTTCTATTGAAGAACCCACGTATGCTTCCTGTCACCCGCTACGACTGTCGATGGCAACGTAAGTACGCTACCGGACAAATTTTCCTTACGGACGGTTCGTGATTGACATATGTGCCTCAGTTAGCGTCCTCGATGTCATGCTTGAACTCGCCGGGCGGGAAAAGCACAGGATCGTCTGATCGGAAAAATGCTACAGCCTCGCTGATCTATGTCATTATTCAGCAAGTATGTGGGCGCAAGAAACGCTCGAGGTATGACCTACTGTGTACCCATGCTGATATCTCCCTCCTGAACCAAAATATGGCCTGCTTGGAGGGTGCCGATAGCTCTCGATGTATTCATCATAACCATCCCAAGAGTCGTAGTCGGGAGCATCATGATACCCACCATTGTGATATCTTATTGGTGTCATGGGCGCGCCCCTGTAAGCGCCACCCCATCTAACTAGGCACAAGTTGATCGCTCGGAGCTCTCGTGTCGAATACATCCAATGTTTATACCTTGAAGAAAATTCTGGCTATCGAGTGCATTCAGCAGCTGGTCGGGCTCATTTAAATCGTTGTAAAAATGATCGCATTACAGGATTAAAAATATTCTTTGAGGCGACATGAAAGGATCGGCCACGATGTGAAATTGCACTATCCGAGAGATGATGCTCCTGCTCAACGTTCAAGCGTGGTTTTGTTTACTATTACTGGTCAGTACGACTGACGAGCCCCGTACTACAGGCCAATACGATACAAATCATGGCATTGGTTTCCCTCCGAGTCAGATCTGTGAAGTCTAGCCGCGTGCTCCACAATCGGCAGCTCGTTCACAAATGCAACTGCAATATTCATCCTTGATGTATCCTTTAACTTGAAAGCGGAAGGATCTGCGTTACCGGTAGTAAACACTTTCGTCCAGAGTCAAAGTTACATGCCGATCGGGAGTCTGAGACAGGAAGGTCAATTCTGATATGTTCTAATAGTAATGTACATTGCAACTGGATCTATTAGTGAGGAGGATGTCGATGACGAGGAAATGAGAGCAATTGTTACACCAGTATCACACTGCACGGCGCTCGAGCTCGGCCATTCTTGCTCGCATTCGGTTCAGTTCAGCCTCATACTCCCTCTCCGCTTTCTCCCTTTGCCTCCGCTCTTCGTCTGCTCTCCTCTCCGCTTCCTCTCGTTGCCTCCTCTCTTCCTCTTTTTGCCTCCTCTCTTCGTCAACCTCTGCTTGACGTTGAGCCCGTCCCTCCACCAAACCTTCCATCCTCAACTGTAAAAACAAATAAGTAAACAGCCCAACCAATCCCAAAAAAGAACACTCACCCGGTGCACCTCCTCCTCCTTCGCCCTCCTCCTCTCCTCCGCCGCATTCTCAAAACGCGCCCACTCGGCGCGATACAGCTCACACACCGCCTCAACACTCTCCGCCTTCCTAACCTCCTGCCCGCAAAAGCGAGAGCGCCCCTCGCTCTGTGTCGTCTCCCGGCACCCAGGAAAAAGCCTCTTGAGGGCCTCCCAAACAGTGTAGGCATACCAGTAACACTGGTATTGCCACAGATGATAAGTTGGAGAATGCTTGCGGAGCACGCACAACAGCACGGATACTTGCATCGCCGAAGGACGAGCGGAAGCGGGAAAGTCGAGGTGACAAAGGTACTTGTGCTGGCCATATCGGTTAGTGAGGTATGATTCGATTGCGGAGCCGTTGTTGGGGGTGGTGAAGATGGAATCGTGGGCGGGGGTTGCAGATACCGAGGGGGAGACTACGGTTGATTGGCCAATGCCAATCGATCTCGACGAGCCATTGCCATTATTATTCTCTGTAGAATCCGAACGCGATGTCCTGTCCAACACTAGGATAGCGACAGCGTGGTGTTGCGTCGGATGGCGGAAATGGAGGAGCAAGAATTCATGTTCGACGCTGGTGGTGCATTTGCAGCAGACCAAGCGTTCGAGCTCGCACTGCGAAGAAAGCTCGTTGTTCAAGAGCAGCGTGTGCCAATCTCCTACGTTGTTGTAGCTATCGCCCAAGGTGAACACCCCAGGGGCGTCGGTCGGGGATGTCATGAATGGGTGCAGGATCGCTGCGAGGAAACCGCGAACGCTGAAACGCTTGACGCTTTTGCTTTTGAAGGCCATTTCATTGCCTTGGGTGTCGAATAGGGTTAGGACACGAGGCAGAGAGGGTGAAAGGTGAGTGGCTCATGTGTTTGGGAGAAGCAGCCTGAGCGTGGTCACCCTAGTACTGTCAATGTTGCCCCATAGCAACAGATCTTATCGGGCATATGACTATGTACCAGGCAGGCAAGTTCTGCGCCACGACCATCAGAACACACAGCCCTGCTCCCACTCAAATTCAAAATGGCCAAGATACCGTACCGTACGTAGGTGATAGTAAATGCAAAGAAAACAAGTGCGACAAATAAACAAATGAAAATGCTTAAGAAGCTCATCAACGAGCAAGATGATAAGTTTTGCAAAATATACCGAAAAGCAAAAAAAAGCTTCCGGGAATTCTGAGCAACTACATCATAAAATAAACACCCATCACTGGAACCGTTAAGCAATGGCGTCAGTACTCGGACCACGCGCATAACTATCCACAATCGAACGCCACGACTTTGTAATTTACCATGGTTCGTCCGATAACAAATCCACAAGGAGCATCCTTGCCCGGCCGAAGTTTGGACATTTTTGGCGCCTTGATCATATAAAAAGTGCATCATCTTAATCATTTTATCCAAGGTATCGTCGTTCGCGGGTTCCAGGGTAGTCGCTGCAACCGTAACACTACATCAGCGGATCAATGGAACGAGGTGAGGACTGTCACAAAATATTTTGGACTCTGGAAGTTTCTTGTCGAATCTACATGAAGTAGTTGGTGAAACTTCGAACTGGAAAGAAGGTTTTGATGTGACAGTGATTTATCATGTGTGTGACAGCATGACGGTGTTGAAAGTGCGGACGATGACTAACTATGATAGGCCGATATCTCTCGGGCATGGCTCTGATTCAAGCACGGTGTGGGATGCTGTACCAAGTTTAAGCTGTCAATTACCACGCAGAAATGTAGAGCACTGGACGACCTATACGCGCAAAGAGCCCAGGTACTAGTAAGCCTTACTACTACTAAGGCTACCGTGACGCTAGCCTGCTGCCCATGCAGGCCTTAGCGGCTAGGATACTAGGGTGACTAAGTCTTCTTAAGCTTCATGGTGTAATCATGACGCCATATCATACAGTTCACGACCATAAATATCAGGAAGTTGAGTCTGACCCAACTCACCAACTTAGAGCTCAACCGTCATGTCCACATCCGAGAAGACGCACATTTTCATAACAGGTGTTACCGGTGAGGAGTCCTCGACCATAATTTGACTCGACACTGACTGTCAACTGGAGGTTACATCGGCGGATCTGTTTTGTCCGCATTGTTGTCCCACCCTAGGGCGAAATCATTTCAGATCACTGTTCTCACTCGCTCCCCCGAAAAGGTCGTGCCGCTCAATAGCCTTGGAGTCGTAGCTGTCGTCGGCTCGAACCAGGATCTTGAAAAGCTGACAGAATATGCCAGGAAGTCTGATGTAGTCTTTGCTTGCGTCCGTTTTGAGTCTAAATTGCCGAGTTGAACTTATAGCTAATTACCCCTATGTAGGCTGACTCTGATGACCTCCAGGCAGCCAAAGCAATCCTGTTGGGATTGAAAAAGAGACACGACGAAACTGGCAAGGTCTCTATTCTCATCCACACCGTGTGTATTTTCCTTGTTCCTTTCACCTGCAATGCGTGTTAAACTTCATCAGTCTGGAACCGGCGTTCTTGCAGACAATGCAGCAGGAGATTACGCCACTGATAAAGTCTATTCCGATCTTGACATCCCATTGATCGAGACACTACCCAAGACGCAACCTCATCGTGAAGTCGACATCGAAGTCGTCGCTGCTGATGACAAAGGTAATCTCGATTCTTACCTTACTTGCTTATGTTTTATAAATGAATACTCGATACAGGTTACGTGCGGACATATATCGTTTTGCCTTCGACAATTTATGGAATTGCGAATACATCATTGGTCAAACTCGGCATTCAGAATCCGTACTCTATACAAATCCCTAGTCTCATCAAAGCCGGTATTGACAGAAAACAGGGCGGAGTCGTCGGGAAAGGGTTGAATCTGTGGCCTAATGTTCACATCAGCGACATAGCGAGTTTGTACATCACCATTTTCGATGCTGCGATCAGAGGGCCAGGCGAAGCAGGTCACGGCCGTGAGGGTTTCTATTTTGGCGAAAATGGAGAGCATCGTGTGGGCAGGATCTCTGAAGTCATCGCGGAGTTGTTGTTTGAGGTAAAGCTGGCCAAAAGTGCTGAGCCTACAGTCTTCACAAAGGATGAGCTGCAGAAGTATTTCGGGGTAGGTCTTTGGTCTCCCTTATCTATGGATTACTGATGAACCAACAATTCACAGGGCCCAGGTCTTGGATCGAACTCTCGTGCTCGGGCAGACCGATCTAAATTGATTGGGTGGAAGCCAGTACACACTGTCGATAGCCTTTGGGCGAGTCTCAAGCCAGAGATCGAGGCAATCGCGGAGATCCAAAACAAGTAAGTTGCGAATCACAGAAATTCAGGCCTCAGGATTTGTATGGAAGCAATTCTTACCACCAAATGATAATTATTCGTGTCGTGTCCCTTGGTGGATTTTTGGTTACGGTTCGATTTACCGCTATGCCAAGATTTTTGATGTCCGATCGTCGAGTATTGCACTTTGTTTTATTTTATTTGATGTATATTGTATACCCTAGTTTTATTCTACCGCTAGTTTGACTGCATATCGAAGCCTGCGTTCGCACCGGATCCCAGCAAGGACGACCTGATATTCGCAGGTAGTACAGTCGAGAGCATCTGATACTCAAATGAATTAGACTCAGCCTCCTGAAAAAGCGCCGCTCACAATGGGGACTCAAGTCTACCCGTGGTCAAGAGCATCGAACCTGCAATCGAACGTGTTCGCCAACGATTCGCCAAACAAGGTTCTCACGACATGAAGTACTGTCCCCGCTGCGATTTTGTCACGAGTCTGATAGGTCGGCTTGGGCTTGACCTAGAGGGGGCCAGGGCCCATATAACATTGACCTAAGCCAGACATGTGGTGCACACTTCGTGATTATGACAGTGACCTGGGTTGACCTGTTGGAGGAACCTATTGGCATTGTTTGAAATGTCTCTGAAATAAATGCTATAGTATGCGCAATCTTCTACGCCAATTTGCACTCCTTCTCAACATCCGCAAGTTGGGCCCATTTCCCTCCATTCCAAGAACCAATCCTGACCCACTCATCCTCCTTCAAAACTCGTTTGAACCACAGCAAATGACAAGCCACGATGATGTCCGCAAACGAAAAAAGTGTCGCCCATGAACCACTTCCCTGGTACCATTCATACGCAGTATTGTACCCCTTCTCTAGTAGGGCCCAGTCTTCACCGTAAGTCGCATCCCAAGGCAGCGGGACGTCTATCGAACGAACTCCGATGAAGAACTTCGCACTGATGGGACTCGATATTTCTGTGGAGCGTGCGAAGATAGACTTTACAGCAGGTATAATGAGTCTGAAATGGGCGGAGTCGAACTCGCGTATCAAGGATTCTGAGTTGTTGGGGAAAATGCCCTTCTCGGGATATGTCTTTTCGAGGTAGGAGGCAATTTCGAGGGAGTCAGTGATGAGGGCACCGGTGTTAGGGTCGCTGAGGACGGGGACGGGGTAAACATCCGTGCCGTCTGAACGTTTGTTTGGCTTTGCACCGATGGCCTTCATAGCGATCGATATGTCTGAGTATTCGACCCAGACAGTCACGAATGGAAGGCCCTTGTAGCTCAAAATGAACCTGAGGCGTAGTAGACTTTGATCAGATATCAAAGTGGCATACAGAGCATAAATTACTGACCTCGGCTTTGCGGGGTTGGGTGACCAGTTATTGCCTGGTAGGTTGGAGAGGGTATCGTACAGGACAAGTGTCTGCGTCATGGAGTACTAAGATGTGGGGGTTGAAGTGCTGCGGCCAATCTTGAAACTCTTTTTAAAGGCTGAGCCGCTTCATTGGTAGGCATCTGAGCTTGGTTAGCAGCCTTGAACACCGGAACTATACCTCTTTGTATAGAGGCAACCGTGCAGCGTGGATTATGGCCCATGGGCGGTGTACCGCCGCAGTTGGAAAGTTAGCAGCCAGTGGTGTCAACGGATACTGTGGGGTGGCTGACTTCCTCTAACACGTTATGGTGGGGTATGAATCAGAAATGCAACCAAGGCGCATTACAGTTACCTCCACGCATAGAGGTACAGTATAGTGTTGGTTGCCAGCCGCGCCAGTCCAACGCCTCGATGTACACCGTCGGATCATCGCATGCGAAGCCCCACCCATGGTGCTTGCAGTAACTTGCATGAAGAAAAAGAGATGTGAGGAAGACTGGAAGCAGCTGTGGTGGAACGGAATGGGCAGGTTTTTGCTGGACGGACAACTTTACAAGGATGCCGTTGAACGGTTCGAAAGACTTGACATTGGAGATATCAACGTCAACTTGGACTGTTGGAAGGCTGTGTTATATATGTACGTAAAAGCCCACAGCGCTTTTGACGCTCGTACAGCTGACAATCTTGCAAAATCTTGATATCTTGCACCAACTTGCGCCCAGATCTTGAATCTCAGGCTTAGTCCTGCTGAGCCAGTGAGCGCTCAGGTTTTTTGGATGCGCATTGCACTGCAACTGTAACACTACACCAGCTGATCAATGGAACAAGGTGAGGACTGTCGGAAAAGCTTTTGGACTCTGGAAGCTTCTTGTCGGACCTACATGAAGTAGTTGGTTGACTGGAGAGATGTGACAGTGATTTATCATGTGTGTGACAGCATGACGGTGTTGAAAGTGCTGGCTAACTTCCATCCTAGGCCGATATCTCTCAACAACGCGAGCATGGCTAGTAATGAAGTTTATTTAGCCATGCCAGCGTTGTTGTGAGCCAATATCTGGTTCAAGCACCCACTGGTAAGGTGTGGGATGCTGTACCAAGTTGTCAATTACCACGCAGAAATGTGGAGCACTGCGCGAGTTATACGCGCAAAGAGCCCAGGTACTAGTAGTAAGCCTACCGTGATGCTAGCCTGCTGCCTCAGCGTGCAGGCCCTAGCGGCTAGGACACTGGGGTGAATAAGTCTTCATGGTGAACCATGACGCCATATCATACAGTTCACGACCTATAAATATCAGGAAGTTGGGTCTGGCCCAACTCACCAGCCTAGAGCTGAACCGTCATGTCCACATCCGAGAAGACGCACATTTTCATAACAGGTGTTACCGGTGAGTCCTCCTCGACCATAATCTAGCTCGGCGCTGACTGTCAACTGGAGGTTACATTGGCGGAACTGTTTTGTCCGCATTGTTGTCCCACCCTAGTGTGAAATCATTTCGGATCATTGTTCTCACTCGCTCCCCCGAAAAGGTCGTGCCGCTCAACAGCCTTGGAGTCGTAGCTGTCGTCGGCTCGAACCAAGATCTTGAAAAGTTGACAGAATATGCCAGGAAGTCTGATGTAGTCTTTGCTTGTGTTTGTTTCGAGTCTAAACTGCCGAGTTGAACATATAACTAATTACCCCTAGTATGTAGGCCGACTCCGATGACCTTCAGGCAGCCAAAGCAATCCTGTTAGGGTTGAAAAAGAGACACGACGAAACTGGCAAAGTCCCTATTCTCATCCACACCGTGTGTATTTTCCTTGTTCCTTTCACCTGCAAAGCGTGTTAAACTTCGTCAGTCTGGAACCGGCGTTCTTGCAGACAATGCCGCAGGGGATTATGCCACTGATAAAGTCTATTCCGATCTTGACATCCCATTGATCGAGACACTACCCAAGACGCAACCTCATCGTGAAGTCGACATCGAAGTCGTCGCTGCTGATGAAAAAGGTAATCTCGATCCTTACCTTACTTGCTTATGTTTCATAAATGAATGCTCGATACAGGTTACGTGCGGACATATATAGTTTTGCCTTCGACGATTTACGGAATCGCGAATACATCATTGGTCAAACTCGGCATTCAGAATCCATACTCTAAACAAATACCTAATCTCATCAAAGCCAGCATTGACAGAAAACAGGGCGGAGTCGTCGGGAAAGGGTTGAATCTGTGGCCTAATGTCCACATCAGCGACACAGCGAGTTTGTACATCACCATCTTCGATGCTGCGATCAGAGGGCCAGGCGAAGCAGGTCACGGCCGTGAGGGTTTCTATTTTGGCGAAAATGGAGAGCATCGCGTGGGCAGGATCTCTGAAGTCATCGCGGAGTTGTTGTTTGAGGTAAAGCTCGGCAAAAGTGCTGAGCCTACGGTCTTCACAGAGGATGAGTTGCAGAAGTATTTCGGGGTAGGTCTTCGGTCTCCCTTATCTATGGATTACTGATGAACCAACAATTCACAGGGCCCAGGTCTTGGATCGAACTCTCGTGCTCGGGCAGACCGATCTAAATTGATTGGGTGGAAGCCAGTACACACTGTCGATAGCCTTTGGGCGAGTCTGAAGCCAGAGATCGAGGCAATCGCGGAGATCCAAAACAAGTAAGTTGCGAATCACAGAAATTCAGGCCTCAGGATTTGTATGGAAGCAATTCTTACCACCAAATGATAATTATTCGTGTCGTGTCCTTTGTACTTCATATTTAGCTTTGTATGAATACGTGTTCAGGAATCACCAGATGACGCTGCAAATCATCATCCAACTTGGAACGCGGAAAGTGTGTAGGCAACCACTCATTACTCAACGTACATTCAAATGAACGCCAAACAAGCCATATTTGCTTTGCGAGAGCGCAGGTCGGCCATGACATGCAATGCTGATTCGTCGTTATAAGTACTCACCCACCAATATTATTATTTACCGGAGCCAACACGCAAAATCATTCAACAGATCTCCAACTCTAAATGCTCGTCCATGATAAATGAATGATGATTTAGATATATAATACAACTGCAGCTACAAGTAAGGCTGCGCCAATCATGCAATAAGAGAGCGAATTACGCGCTAGTTATATCCTATAAATCATGCTTAAGCGGTAGCATTGTTGAAGATGAGCAAGTTCACTGTCTTCGGGGGCAGATCAGTAAGCATATTCGATGATGCGAGCTTGCGAAGAGCTGTCTTGAGCTCCAAGGGGGAGATCAAGACTGGACCACCAGGGACGGGCGCGTTGATAAACAACTGCGGTGATGGCATGAATTCGGTCATCCAGCGCGGGAGAGCGGCATGGCATAGAGAGTAGAATGAGGAATAGGGGTGCTCGAGGTTGAGCGCAGGAGGTAACGTCGAGCTCAATAGAGGGTCGAAGGTGGCAGAGGGGTAAATTGACAAAAGGTATGCAAGCAGGCCAGCAGTATGAGGAGAAGCCATCGAGGTACCAGAGAGGGTAGCAATAGCATCTTTGCTACCAATGTACGTGGATAGGATGTTAAGACCTGTGCAAAATGTTCATTAGGAGCCAATGGCTCAATAGATAGAGACACATACCAGGAGCGAAGATATCCACACACTCGCCGTGGTTGGAGAAGTATGCGCGCTCATCGCCAAGCGTAGAGGCACCGACTGTGACGGCATTCTCAGCTGCTGCGGGTGAGTACTTGCAAGCGTCCTTGTTGTCGTTACCTGATACTATGGTCAGATATGATCTTAACAACTAACTCGCGGAATATACCAGCAGCAACGGCGAAATGCAGGCCAGCGTCAACAGCGCGGTTGACAGCAAGATCAAGAGAGGGAGACTTTCCGCCACCAAGACTCATGTTTGCGACCGAACCTTTATGCTTGGTCTTACCAGTGGCGGCAAACTCTGCGCGAGCAGCTGCGAACTTCTTTGCAGCTGACTGAGCTGCCCATGCAACTCCCGCGACAACATCGCTCATAGTGCCACTGCCATTGGAACCCAGCACCTTGACAGCAATGACGTTTGCCTTCTTGGCGACACCATACTTGCGGGAAGCAATGGTTCCAGCGCAATGGGTACCATGGCCATTGCCGTCTTCATCAACATCATTGGTCGGGATGGTCTTGCCCCAGGAAGCACGACCCTCGAATTCGGAGTGAGCGACACTGATACCGGTGTCAACAACATAGACGTCGACACCGTCACCACCTTCCGAGTCATAGAGATACTTCGTGAAAGTACTGAAGCCGAGTTTGTTACGGTGGCTGATACGGGCCAGACCCTTACATGTGGAGTCAATTTCACTGGAAGTTATGGCATTCAGCAGAATAAACTTACCCAAGGCGATCCCTTCTGGGTATTGATATCCATGGTATGGACGATTTGGTCCTTCTCTACGAAGGAGACCTCAGGCATCCGCCGTACCTGTTCGATGACGTTCTCAGTGAACTCTCCACCGTAACCTTTGATGTGTCCGTCGTAAAAGTGACGGACCCCCTCCGCAAGCCCGTCACCAAGGAGCGAGTCAGAGGCATGAGCCATCTGGAGGAAGTTGTAGTGGTTCTGTACGACAGCCTGAGGAAGGTCATCACGGAGAACGACTATATACGAGTTGTTAACGGTTCCATATGGATGGTCAGAGGCAATTAACGGCGCAACCTTGAGTTGCGGCCGACTGGGAATGTTGTAAGGATTGGTAGAAAGTGGGGTTGCGAGCGCCGCTGGGGCCAACGCCGCCGCTAGTAATGACCAAGTTGCCAGACGATAAGACATGACGGGCGGAATGAGAACAGTTGTGAGGATGACGACCACCTACTTAAACAGTTGCGTGGCTCTATTTGGCAATGTTTGCATTGTGGCATAGCAGTGAGTCAGTTCTAGCTCTTTTTGGACTGTCAGGCCAGGCTCGACGAGTTCCGCACGGTTCGCATTGCGGCCGCAACCAGTTAACCTCTCACTCTTATCTACTTCGAATTTCAAAGCTTCTGTGAAAGGCCGACTGCATGCACGGATGCCTATATCTATTTATCTATGTTTTGTTAACGATGCCTTATTGAAGTGGGTCTCCTTTGCTATCAATTCGGTCCAGTTTTTTTCGGCCAGTTTAGACTCTAGCACCGTTGGACCGGACATTAATACTTTGAATTTTGGCGTGAGATACTTTTCTTTTTGTGACTCGCCCAGCCTGAGGCGCAGGGGCCAGGGTTGGACAGAATTACATAAACAAGGGGTGAAATTTGAAAATGATTCTTGCACTTGGCCTAGTAAGTAGGTCTCTTATTGGTGCTTTATTCTACCGGACTGTGCAAATACTGCAATGTTGACCAAATTCAAGCTGTGATTCTACATGGTATATACCCAGGTCGGGTGTAGGATAAATGTCCGATGCAGGCGTGAATAACAAGACAATACATATATACGGCATAAGGTATGGCACGATATTTGCTCAGGATGTGATCACCTACCGCCATTGACGACATCTTGCAAGATGGGCCGGCCCTTGAGGATCCCATCTTCAACTTTCGGAGTTTTCAATTTCTTCGAGAGCGGTTCATTGACACTAGCCACCGATTCATTCTCCTTGCTTCGCTTCGCAGGACTGCGAATACCACACCGTTCGCTCTGTAACGCCGGGTGCTTCACATCCGCATCGGCAGGCAGCGTCAACATCCAGCCCCGCTCGTCCATAAGCGTCAAGAACACCGACAAAAGCTCAGTCGAGTTCAAGGTCTTTCGTGAGCCAATAATGATCAACTTTGACCGTGCACGTGTGAACGATACGTTGACTCGTCGCCAGTCCTTGAGCAAGTCTCCAATCTGCGCAAGGAGCGTTAGTGCGGGCTGCAATTGTATAGCTGCAACCGATAGAACATACCTGCCCCTGGTCGTTAGATCGGACCATGGAGATAATAATACAGTCCTTATCACGTCCTTGACTTCTGTCGGCTGTGAGGATTTCTATATCCTTCCTGTCTTGAAGAATATGTGACAGAAGCTTTATCTGCTGACGATAAAGAGACATAATTCCAATCTGGTCCTCCTGGACTCCCGCTCTTAAGAACGCTTCAGTAATCTGGTACACAAGCTTGGCCTCGACATCATTTTGGACGAGGTCCCCAACTCTCGAATCACGCGCAGGCAAGCGGTCTGTGTCAACAAATACAACTTTAGAGCTAGTGGGAAATATGATAAGTCAACTTGTCGCACCACATGGTACGAACCGACCTTTCTGATAATAGATGCCGCAACCAGCAAGAATCCTCGCACAGGCATGCTCCCAGATCCAGTGTATCAGTCATGCACCCTTTAGGAAGAACGAGCGTGCTCTTGGCCACTTCCTCTGATCCACATCGCAGACGATCTCCGTATATGAGCTTGTTCGACAACTCCATAATGTCTTCGTTCATGCGATATTGATATGTGAGATCGATCACCGCGTGCGGGTGCGCTTCAGAGAGACGACGGAACAGAGACGTTTCCAAACCACCTTTTCGTGCAGCAGGATTGCGAACCTGGATATACATAAAGGGGAGACCATGATATACGACAAAAGAAACTCACTAGTGGGGGAAGCTGAAAATGATCTCCAACCAAAATGAATTTCTCGGCAAACCGAAGGGGACCCAGACATGTGGGCAGGGTGATCTGAGAAGCTTCGTCGACAATGCAAAAATCGAATGTCCTGCGAGAAAAGAGGGCACTGGTAGGAGACGAGAAATGAGCACAAGCAAAGACATCAACAAAAAAACGTACTGATCAATTGTCAAGCATGTGGTAGCAACAACTGGTGGTGCAATGATCTGGTTCTCTAATTCCTCGACCGTTGTAGGCAACCTACGCTCAGCAAGCGTAAATCTCCGAGCGCCAGAATGCACCTAAACATTCAGTATGAGCTGGTCCACGAAGTGGTTTCACCGAGACATACCTTATCTACATTGCCAATCCTTAATATGCCGAAGTCTGCATCCTGTAGCTTAAGCAATATCGTGTCCACAGCCGAGTGAGTGTATGACGTCAAAAGGACTGTCTTCCCCATGGCCACGATAGTTCGGATTAGTGCAGCAATTATGGTTGTCTTGCCCGTACCAGGCATACCGAGGATAAGCGCGTAATCGCGTGCGCTCAAGGCTCGTTTCATCGCAGCAAGTTGACCAGGGTTCATACCTGAGCTTGTGCGGACATACTCCGGAATATGTTGCAGGTTGTCAACGATGGTCTCCTCGTCATCGAATAGAGGGCGCCGTAGATCCACGACAAGCTCTAGACGCCTGACATCTCCCTCCACATAGAATAGTTGGGCTAAATTATCCCTAATCCGCGCCATGCCGCCTGATAGCTCGTCCTTGTCAACTCGGAAGAGTACAGCTGTCCTTGCTCCTCGAAGCATCTCCAATCTGGCTTGTATCTTGTCCACACTCAACTCGTGATCTACACCCACGACCACGGTTTCTGGCGTGAGCTCCACAATGAACCCTTTTGCAAGAGCAAGAAGATCAGGTTCAACGGAAATTGTGATAGCATCTCCACGGCTCATGTGCCCATTCAAGAACGAAGCGCGGTGAACAGCAGAAGCTCGAACAAAGCAATAAGTGTACTGGTGAATCTTGCCACTCTTTGGAACTTTTCCTGGCTGGAAAGATGCATCTATGACCATCGAGTTGAAACATCTGCCTTTGTCCTCGCGTTCTTGAGCGGCCATGCACCATAGCTCTTTTCTGAACCGGGTGGCGTCCTGTTCCTCGAGCGAAATGAGCTCCTCCCATTGTTTAAAAAACGCAAGATGGGTGGGCTTCAAATGTGAGGTTTTGAGGTCGTACACGTCTGCAATTGGTGAAGACGTATCAACTACGTTCTCAACAGCCTGTAGCCACGAAATTAGCAGAATTCATGGAGCAAGATGAAAATAAAACCTTGCGAAATAGCATACAAGTATCTAGCGCATAACACTTCTTACAGATTCTTTCGTCGTCAATCGTAGGAGGAAGAAAAGGCTCTTCGAGGTCCTTTTCCTTACCATGCGTATTCCTGCGCATCATATATGATGCCATTTCGTTCCTTGCGCCTATCAGTGCTCGAAGCTCGTTGCGGCTTTGCGGGACACGGACGACCTCCTCACTCTGGGTGTAGTACAGTAACCCACTCGGAACATCGACACCGTACCGTTCTGCTATCAGGAGGGTGTAAAGCATGGTCTGAGCGCGATGCTCCATCCCTGCTACAGCCCTACCAGTCTTGATCTCAAATGGCATCGTGTGTGTGCTCAACAAGGATGCATTCTTAACACGCTTGTCAATCGTGCTCTCAGCAATGACCGCCTGGACGGTAGCATCGAGCTTGCCTTTAAGTCCATAGGTTGGAGACCAAATGTCTTCTTCCACATCATGTAATTGGGATATAGCAAGAAGGGAGCTTTGATTCGCAGCCGCGCGGGTGTTGGTAAGAACTGCATCAGCCTATAACATCAATCTCAGTGGTCGAGTATGCACAGTTACTAGCAATGATCACCTTTGGCGTCTCGGCAATGTAGCGTTCAGAGAACATTCGAAGACCTCTTGAACGGGCCTTGACTTCACGTTTTGCCTCGTCGACGCTCACGTTGATCTTGACAAGCTCCGCAAGGTTCTTACTGATGATCTCCTTAGTGTGTTCTTCAATAAAACGGTCGTCCCATCGTTGTTCAGCCATGCATATTTGCATAACCTCGTGAACCATGTTACCCCATATAAGCGCTGGGGTGACATCTAAGCTCGAACGGACGAGCGCGGAGAGAAGCGGTTTTCGCCTGCACTGTGGCGCATTAGAAAGCGCAGTAGCTGTGATTAAGATGTCTGGATGATTAATCAAAAAATTGATTTTAGACGTTATCTTAATTATTCCAAAGGAATCAAAGTCGCCAAGGACGTTGATGATATTTCCTGGGCCACGTTAGTATAGAAGCAAAGGATATAAGGGTAGTTTACCTTTGCGAATATCTGCGTCTACCCAGTCGTCGCAGAGAATGACTGTTCGGGAATCTCTACTTGACTGGACACGCACAGAAAGAACCTGTAATACACTCTCATGACATAGTGTAATACATGCAGCTTTGGGTTTCCAAACCTTTTGAATCTTTGCCGACTCGTCAACTCGAACGTCATCAACCATACATCGAGTGCACGTCTCTTTGGCGTGCAGCTTTGCAGGCATTGCTACCGTCTGTGAAGCTTCAATAGGAGTACTGTAATCAGTACAATGCTGAACTCACCCCGGACTTCACCTTAGGCTTCTTCGGAGTAATAAAGTCATCCTCCATGTCTGCCCAATCCCAATTTTCGGCGCCTTCAAGAAGCGCGTTTACATCCAGAGCAGTGGCAGACAAGGACCTCTTTGCAATAGGAGAACGCTTGGTAGAAGGTGGCCCGTGACCTGACGTTTTCTTCCACAGAGTCAGAACAATGAGTACATTCGAGTAAAAACTCACCTTCATTGGCGTCTTCCCACTGTTAGATTTCTTTGGTGTAAGAAAGTCTGCTTCCATATCATCCCAGTCCCAGTTTTCTGCGCCATCGAGAAGCATAGAAATGTCGACATTATTGCTGTGAGAGCCAGGACGGCTGGCCGTATGTTTAGAAGGCGTTTGTGGAGCAATGGAAGAGCAAGAAGCTGTTCGTTTGAGCTTCGGTAGGCGTTCTGGTTGGCGTGTTGAGTCAAGACCTGAAAGCAAGTTCTTCATGAAAGCATCTTCGTCAGGAATGTTTGGTATCGCTTGGGACATGACAGATTAGAAAGATATGAAGTTTCAGAACACGGTGGGTCCTTCGACAATTATTATAAGTACTGTACGCGCGGTAACGTGATTACATCCGAATTCGCGACGCGTTTGTTGCCATCTATTTGTGGTTGTCGCGAGTTTGAACTCCGCGAATGTTTCTTGGCAGCCAACTCCCGCAACTGAACGACTTGCAGGCGCCTGCTTCGATGAGAATCGAGAAGGAGCAAAGTGCCAGAGGCAATATTCCCGCAAGCTCATCACCAAGCACTATCGTACTACATGTACCTATATCTGGCCTCCCAATTAAATTCAGCGTCGAGCAGGAACGTAACTTTGGCAAGTACTTAGTACTGCTAGCGACCTTTGGCATGGCATTGAGCTTTACCTAACTTGCAGAAGCCCATCCAGACATAGGCCTGTTAACCCATTACGATGTGCTCTATATGGGTCACCACAAGTCATCATGATGCCATCATGGGTCGTTTCTCCGCAAATTACGTCCAACCATTAACCATTAACAATCAATGACTTGTCAATGATACAGGTGACCCCATTAACGTGCGTAAACAAATATATAACCACGGTAACTGATAACATCGATTTCCAGACATACAAATACTTATCGATACACGAGGATGCACGGTTGGGCTACTTCTCATACCCGTGTCCACCGTAAGTGCGCCGTCATAACACCCTTATCTTGGCACGCAGCTCAGGGATACGTCCGCAGTCATTTCATTTTCCAAGCTTAGGTGCCCCTGATCACAATTAACATTTAACGTCAAGAGATCATACAGGAATGAGGATGGACTTTTCAAGTAGGCCGCGCATCCAATCGCAGACTCGTCCCTTGAAAGAAATGTCCAAAAATGGACGTCTGCAATATTTAATCATCCGCCTTCCTCTTTTGATCGCCATCATGGGACTCTTACTTCGGTCCTCCGTCACCTCGTGTTTCCCATGTGTCCAGGCCTACAGCATCTTCGTTTACATACTTGAATTTCCCTCGGCATCAGGCGCGAGATAGTATACGCACGCCTTTCAATCAGTCCCCCGCAAGTCCTGTAACAAAGGCTATCACAAGAATAGCAGAACATTCGCAGCGCATCAACCAACATCGTAACTTTATCATGTTCAGCAGCCTTTCTAGCACCTTCGCAGCAGCAGCAGCAAACGCCGGCGGGGCCAAGGGAGATGCCAAAAAGTCCATGTCCCCATCACTTCGTGCAGATATCTATAGTGCCGTTGATCAGGCAAAGCCCTGGCTCATTGGGGGTACTGTGGGTAGACAAGCCGGTGATGGCGTCGCCTATCAGCCTATAATCGCCAGAATCCACGAGCACTTCCCTGATATGAAAGTGGGATTAGATGCAGCACGAAACATAGAGCATGAAGTGGCAGTTATTGTCGCTGGCATCACGAACATGATCCTCGAGATGAGCAAGTGGGACGGAATGGCCGGAGCTATGGCCATGCGCACGTGGGTTGACGCTCTCAGTGATGCACACGGCAAGATAAGCAGCGCGTCTACCGAAGCAAAAAGCGGTCCTCGGAAGGACCAAGTTGGACGAGGAATCACCAGGGGCATCAATCAGTTGACCGACGTCACCCTGATGACAAGAGAGTTTGCGGCGAGAATACAAATAATCTCGCTGTTAAAGAGCGGTGAGTTTGAGTTCTAGTATATTCAATAAAGACGGTTTGTTTACGCCCATCACTCCACTTCTTCGATAATTCCAGTAAACACGAAGATCCATGGCGCAGGGAGCGATGAAGCGAGACAGGGAGAAGCGCTGTGGAGCTCAAAGTTCATTTGATCAATCCTCTTAGAATTCGCATTTTTAGACGTTGTCGAAATTGGCGGGTCAGGATGCTTCGTTGTAGCTTTGTTTTCCGCCGAGCATATTTGCCTTGCGCCTCGCAGATATGCACTAGTCTAGAATCATGGGCTATCGGTCATCATCAGATAGTTGTGATCTTTCTTGGGTAAACTTTTCCATGAAGTGATTAAATGGGGTTGCAATGTGTATGCAATGCACCCGACAGATTGCAATATCAATCAGAAGAGCAACGAGGGAGCTTCGAGTAATTGAATTTGGAGATCCCTGCGTCGGCGTAGTTATACATATCTGTCATAATAACGGACCTACTACTTCACATCAGATGACTAGCATCACAAGAAGCGCGGCATGAATTGCCCGTATCGGAAGCCAACAGAACGCAAATATCGCGTCCTTTAATCTCAGTCGAATGAATACCAACCTACACGAACGAGAGTCCAGTCTGGAAGCATCTGGGCCGATCAGAGGACCCATTATGATGAATATCGAGCATACAGTACGTGCTGATATTACGATTATATGTACAATAGTTTTACATGATCTGATGGAAAAAAAATGTGAGTAGCGGACATCCTAATTGGGTAAGTGTGCTCACATAATTCCGGATGTCCTTCGGGAAGCTTGATGATGACGACTGAGCCATCATGTCATTTGATGCCGCGTCGGGTGAGTCATTAATGTTGACCACGAAGTCATCGAGGGAAAAGTTATCCATGTTAACGTCCAGTCTGAATGGCTCATCCAGCCGGTATTGCGTGCTGTAGTCATATGATTGGAACATCCCTGGGTCCGAGAAACTCGGAGACATGGAGGAGTTTTGGAATGGGGGCGGGCGGATGGGGTTGGTCATGTTGGGATAAGGATGAGTGTTGTGGTTGTGCGAGAAAGATGCAGAATTGGGTTGATATGACAAGTGCGGTGGGATGGAAGGTGGAGGCGCGCGTGTAGATGCCGGGTATCGGAAGTGGTATATAGCAGAAAATATGAGGACAGGGCGTGGGCGACCCGAGTTCCTTGAGGAAGTTGCTGAGTCAGGAGAACGGTACACATCCTGAATAATGGTGTATACGGTGGGGTCTTCGGGCGAGAAATTAAATCCCTGTTTCATGTTAAGTTCGGGTATGACGTACCTGGAGACTTGCACAAGGTATCCCAATACTTGGGAACCAGAGCCGTGCTGTAGAGCAACGGGCCGTCACCGGAAGAACCAGCGAAATATGGTCCGACACATTCGAGTTTCGTGTCCTCGCTGTGTATGGGTGCGCCATCCAATAACACTATATAGGATGACTTGCCGATGACAGTAGAGGGTGAGACGAAGGTTACGGTGGGATCGATGTCCCTCATGCAACGTGGTGCATTCGGGGAGGGTTGGGATGCAGCTGCACCATGAAAGGACTTGTATGAAGAAGATGGTACGCGTGAACGTGAGGAGGATGAGCTCGAGAATGAGCTAGCCTCTGGCAAGATGTCAATGTACACTGGAGTACGGTTGTCAGGAAGGTTGTTTCGTTTAGAGGATGGCATTGCAGTGTCAATGTATTCTGCAGAGGAACCGTAAGATGAGGAGGCGGATGAGGTTTCGCTTCCTGAAGAGTCGAGAGATATATAGTCGAGCGGAGGCATGGATTCACCCTCAAAAACATGGTTATGAGGAGAAAACCTCCGTGGCGAGCCGACTTCACTCCGCGTACTGAGATAAGATCGGGTGAGGGAATCGATCACTGCCAAAAATAACCAAAATAGAAGAATAATTAATGATGCCGTCTCAATGAACGCACAAACAGCTCGTACGGGACGGATACTCACATTCCCGTCCCTCGGATGTGTCCCTAAATTGCTGTAGTCGACTGCCTATTTGTTTGGATGATCTGTACTTTCCCGTTTTGTGGTAAATGTACTCCGAGATGAAGCGATTGCGCATAGGGAATCGTCCTAAAATTTGAGTTTCCCGCGAGTCGACGGGTTTATATTGATGAAGACCTGGAGGAATCATGTGAGCTAAAGCTGTGATCATCATATGTGATCCGCACCTTCCAGCATCGTGGCTTCGAGATAAGGTGGCCATACAGGCTCGGTATTGCCCTTCAGAGTCTTCCAACCTTTTCTGACATTCAAGATCGTCCGAAAAATGTTTTCCGTACTTTGAATCGGCGACATTAGCCGTGGAGAACCGGAGGCACATGACGAACTTGTGGTGCTGCCAGTGGATGGCGATGAGGAGCGATCAGAATGTGCGGAATGAGCGTGGACTGGGTAGCCATCGGGCGAGGCATGGATGATGGGTGCATGATGATAATGCAACATTGAGGGTGATGTGATCGTGCGTCAAAGTACTAGGACACATTAAAGAGAGGCGGGTTAATATAAGGGGGTGGCGGGGGTGGCCCATACGGCAAACATGGGTGTAAAGTTTCCCGGACGGCACAGTTGTATAATTACAGCTTTGGTCGGGTGCACGCCGGGATAGATGATCATAGATCTTGCCCATGATTTCTTGGTGGGTATTGAATGCGTACTACCCGTATTGGTTTGTGGCATCCGGATAAACTTTGGGCAGTGCCGCACAGGAAACTAGTGCCCCCAATATCGGAGCATTATTGAACCAAGAACAGATGCATTTACCGAGCAACACTGTATTGTGCGTGTGTCATTCATGCGTAAAAAGACACCAAAACTCACTGCCATGCCCAATAATTAAATTTCGATGGTAAGTGCTAGTATCACTAGGGATATTTCAGTGGGTAGCGCCCTCCCAGAAGTAGAAATATGGCGCTTTGAGGTTGCCACTCACGCTGACAAGCCTCATCAGATCACCTTGATCTTCCGGCGATGCAAACTCCCCGTACTCGGGAAATTCCTTTCATTTCCCCAACTTGGGTTTAACTTTGATCAAAGTCACAAGGACAAACAAATTCTCGTCATCCCGACAAACTGAAAAAGAAAAAAAAATAGGAATAGGAATAGGCAAGTGTCCGCATATGCATCGGCCACAGGTTCGTGTAGGTTAGTCTATTGCGCGAGAACATGAGGCGTTTAAACGAGTAGATAGAACAGGGTCAGGAGTACATTGTACTACTAGTAGGTACCTTGCGCCCACAATGACTCATCGGAAGAGATTAATTTGACTACCGCTTCTGAGACAGCCTGGACTCAGGAGCTCAGCGCTCAGCCTCATATGTGCAACTCCTTGTCATTTCTCTACAACTGATCATACCCGTACATGCGGCAAAATTCAAATCACGGATCTAGCAGACGTTTTTCTTCTCTTCTTTCCGGTTTGTTGTGATGGCCTGTTGCCGGAGTACAGAAACCGAAAATATATCATCACTGGGAGCTCATTGTCATGAAATTCGGCCACAGTTAATTATTCATGCTTTGCCAGCATAGTTGCGGTGTGCTTCTTGCTGCCAGGTATCGGAACTTGTAACATCTTTCGCCCCAGGCCCTTGACCAAGCCTAGAAGAGCTGCTCAAGTTATCTAAAGCTTCGACGGGTTTTTCATTTGGTTTTCGCGAAGAAGACTTTCATGAAAAGTCGTAATAATCAATATATAGAGGTTGTTTGTACCAAGTTTGTCCCAAACTCTACAATATTATTCGGCGAACCCAGAATCATATCCGACTTCGTCGGATCGAGATAATCCACCGAGTGATTTTTTATAGGTCTGCGACTCTCTATACATTCATAATATAAGTAAAAGAAACGGTTATATGGTCTGACTTGCAGGAGTCTGGCGATATAACTACCATATGTAATTACGTAATATTCCAGAAAAGATTTTATCTCTCATTTCTAGAATTTCTGAAGTCATCGCTAAGCGTTGCGCTGTGCTGACAACAGTGATCGAACCTTTGCCTCACCTTCTACCCCAGGATGCCCTTCCAGGGGCGTATCAACTTTGTACAAACCGCCCATGAACCATGCGCGCAGCGCGCGTACACCCCCAAATATTCCTCGCACAGGCACTCACCCACGTGACAAGCTGAACCGACGTCAGAACTGGTGAGAAAATGTGACAATGACCTGTGAAACATCTTCTCAGTTTATACGTGCGATGTGTTCTTCGCATCGACGAACTTGAATGAATTCCTGTGGATAGAAAAGCGCACCGCTCGCAGCGACCGACTGGCTCTAACCGTATGCCTCACCGCGCCGGAAACGGATCAGATCATCAACGCCAAGCAGCCACGCCTAGTCTCGTCTATTATAAAAATTCTAACGTGGCTTCCCTGTCACGAGTACTGTAGGTTTCGGCCATGGTGCGCCCCTGCGTGGGATATTGCTTGAAGTCTTGGACGTCCAGACCTGTCTCTTTCTCGTTCTCTGCTACTATCCATCTACAATGTCGTCTTCAAGGCCCGACAGTCTTGCAGATCCATTCGTGACGGCGCTCAACATTCCTTTGGACCTTAGTCAATCCCTAGAACCTCCTAGAGCCTCTTATCTGTCGCCAAACTCAGAGACTGCCGTCAGCCCGCGTGATTCGTATGCTGATACACCAGATAACGTCTCTCCATTGGTGCCAGAGAACGAAAAACACGATGCCATAGCTTATACCCAAGAATCGAGAGAAGAACCTGCGTTGAGAAAACGATCTATCCTTAGGCGGCCTCTATTTTGGCTCATCGCTTTCGCCGCCGTTACTATTGTCATCCTCGCTGTCGTTCTCCCAGTATACTTTGTTGTTATCAAACATCACAATTACAGTACCGTTGGAACTTCTGCCGGTGGGTCAGGTAACGGCAACGGCAATCCCCCTCCGCCTGGAACAACTACGACCGGGGGGAACGGCTCCGTTATCACAACAGCTGATGGCACAAAATTCACTTACCTGAATCCCTTTGGAGGCATCTGTAAGTTCTATAATTCATTTATGGCTTGCAGCTGTGGTTCCGGATGAGTCGCTGGCAGTGAACTGCGGTGTGCCCTTCTCAGTGCTATCAGTAGATCTGAGAACTATGTCTCGGGTACAGTTAAAGGGTCCATGTTCTGCTAACGTAAATGTCAGAGGGCTGCCTAGCGTTATCATCTACTTGTCTATTACTTCCTGACCAGACGTTTTGACCCTACTGATTCTTTGCAGGGGTGGACAACCCAAACGACCCTTTCAACAATGGCGCTTATCCCAACTCTTGGACCCCTCCGCTCAACTCTAGCTGGACTTGGGGAGTAGACAAGGTTTATGGGTCAGTGTCATTTGGTCACGTGTTTGAGACACATGTTGAACACGGATCGTGTACAGTGTCAATCTTGGCGGACTTTTTGTCTTAGAACCCTTCATTACACCTGCCCTTTACCAGAAGTATCCGGGTTCAGTTGACGAGTGGACCCTGAGCACGCTTATGGCGGCCGATACAGCCAGCGGCGGACTGCAACAATTAGAGACCCACTACAATACCTTTATTGTAAGTTCATTTCGCTTGCCTTCTTTGACCCCGAATAACGCTCGTAGACCGAGCAGGATATTGCGGAAATTGCTGGAGCTGGACTGAATTGGATACGTTTGCCTATTCCTTTCTGGGCAGTTGAGAAATGGGACTTCGAGCCCTTCCTCGAGAAAGTGTGTTGGCCGTGAGTTCTGCACTTCTGAAACATTATATGAACGTTTTCTTATCATTCTGATTGCGGTGACGTTAGCTACATCCTGCGAGTCCTTCAATGGGCAAGGAAATACGGGATTAGAGTGAATCTCGATCTGCATACCATCCCTGGATCTCAGAACGGTGCGTGGCAGGGTGTGCATCGTTACTCATATTGTGCAAACTCAAACTTGGTATGCAGGATATAATCACTCTGGCAAATCCGGTTCTATCAACTTTCTGAATGGAGTCATGGGAGTTGCCAACGCCCAGCGTGCGCTTGATTACATAAGGATCATTACTGAATTCATATCCCAGCCTGAGTGGGTTGATGTCGTCCCTATGTTTAGCATTGTCAACGAGGCCCTGGTCTCCACCATTGGGACAGACCAAATCATATCATTGTACGTCTTGATATACTTGCATACGCTCTAGTGTGTCCTGATAACCGGTTGTCGTTTTAAGTTATCTCCTTGCGCATGACATGATCCGCAATATCACCGGTTACGGAGAGGGGCACGGGCCTTACATCGCCATTCATGACGGATTCTTAGGGACGGCAGCTTGGGCAGATTTTTTACAAGGTTCCGATCGAATCATACTTGACACCCATCCTTACTTTGCATTCGACTCTCAGTCTGATTGGGCACCCATCGCGATTGGTACTGGCTTAAGCGCTGGAGGCATTTGGCCACAGCAGGCGTGTAGTGCGTGGGGTCCTGGCATTAATACAAGGTATGCATGTCCCTCACCGCACGACAGCATTCTCACTTTTACCAAAGTCAGACCGCATTCGGTGTAACCATCGCGGGCGAATTTAGCGATGGCTATAATGATTGTGGACTGTACCTCACGGGTGTCGGGAATACTGAAAGCTATGGAACGTCGTGTTCTCTCTTCTTAGACGCTTCGCAATGGAACAGCAGCATGATAGCCGGTCTTAATGAATTCACGCTGGCTAGTATGGACGCTTTGCAGAACTGGTTTTTCTGGACCTGGAAGGTTGGTTTGAATCTATGCTAGTCAACACGAGCCTCATTGGTAACTCTTGTAGGTCGGAAACTCATCTACGACCAATAGTGTCCAGTCTCCCCTGTGGTCTTACCAGTTGGGTCTCCAGTATGGATGGATCCCTACTGATCCCCGTACTGCCATAGGCACCTGCGCAGCGTTGGGAGTAACTGGGCCACAGTTTGATGGGGTTTATCTACCCTATCAGACAGGAGGTCCTGGAGCTGGCACCATTGTTGCGGCTTCGGTCACATCTTATGGCCAGTATCCACCAACACCTATCAACGGTCTTCCAGCTGGAGCAATCCAATCCCTCCTCCCCACCTACACGTCCACTAGTGCAGTTCCAACTCTTCCGCCTCCCACCCTCTCTCCGAGTCCTTCTCCATCTGTCAACGCTGGGAACGGCTGGTTCGATGCGGGAGATACAGGTTTAGCGCCAACGCAAGTACAGGGTTGCACCTACCCAAATGCATGGGATGCTGTTAGTTCACCCATGCCCGCGGCACTTTGTCCTCTCACAGGTGGTGCCACTCCCGTCACCGCAACCACTCCCGTCATTGCGCCCACTCCCGTCACCACCACGTCCATT